TCACCTGTGTATTTCCCTTGCTGCAATACTCAACACAGGTGTTTCTGTTCCAGGTCATCGGGTCATATGCTTCACTCTCTCCCTTGGCTGAATGCCTCCCATGATCTCCAAAACTTCCGGGACTGATTGTTATTAAAATATTCATTACACTGCATTCTAGTTTTATAATTGTCCACTTTGCACACTCATCCATGCACACACATATGAACATCATGTTTTTTTTCAGGAGGTTATTTTAAATCTTACTGCCTAGCAAAGACTGTGAATTTATCTGCATCTGCACTTGCTAAAATTTTTGCTTAAGTAGGCTCTCAACGTGGCATGGCCAACATTTATGAGTCTTTCAATTATTAAAATTGAAAAATTTTTTGTGTGTGCCACATGCATGCATATGTACATATATGGGGTTGTGCTCTACCATACCCCTGGTGGAAATCCTCAGGTGTGAAGTGGACCCCTGGTGGAACTCCTCAAATGTGAAGTGGACCCTGGTGGAACTCCTCAGGTGTGAAGTGGACCTCTGGTGGAACTCCTCAGGTAGGGGGGGGGAGGGAGGGGGGACAGGGATGTTTCAATGCTGGGAGGAAAAACAACCTTTATTTTGCCCCTGAGCGAGAGCCTTGATTACAAGGAAGTTTAGCTGTCAGTCAGGGGGAGTGAGGGCAGCCAGATCACAACACTCCTGTGACCTGATTGGTGCCTGGCCCAATTGTCATCAGAGAGGCACCATTGAGCAACTGATGGAGGCAGATACACACTCACAGTCTCTTCGGCTTCTTAATGAAAGTACTTGAGTTAGTGTTTAGCAACTGCTCATCTTGGAGGGGAGCTCATTAAGACACTAGATGTTTACAGGGAGATAAAACAACATGATTTTCTAAGCCTTGAAATCTAAGGGGAAGTGTACCATCCTATCCTGCAAGGAAACTCCTTAAGCTCAGGAAGCAAATAACTCAACATAGCTTCAGGAAGTCCCTGAAACTGATCAGACTCACTCCTCCACAAGCAGATATAAGCTGCAAGGACTACTGATAATCACTCATGGACAAGCTTAGATGCCTAGAAGATGCTCAGATCGTGGAGACATATGAAAAAGAAGAAACTAGCAGAGCTGCTTGGAAGAAGGAGGGAAAAACTGAGATGCCTGGAAGAGGCTCAGAAAAAATTGGGCTACCTTCAAAAGACTCTCCCTAGCCAGCTGATGTCCAGTTAGTTGAACTGTCGTAGGTTGTGCAGTACATTCCAGTTTTCCCAGTTTTCACCTTAGCATCTTTGGGAGGGGATATAGTATGCAGACTAAGGAGGCTATGGGAGAAAGAGGACTCCATATATGTGCCTATAAATTAATGTCATGTATGAATCCATAATACATGATGGGAGAAGACTTTGCAGTGTGTCTGCTTTGGGGACACTCACACCACTATCAGTGACTACCCACCCATGCTCTGTGAGTAACCCCAGTAAACACATTGGATTCCTCACTGGAATGAAACTTGGGTTTATCATATGGAACCTTATAAGGAGGAGGGTGGACACTGCCTCATCACTCCACAAAGAAAACTCTCCAAATGGGCATAGACAAAAAGCACAAGGCAGTGTACACAGTTGTTGCATAGTAACTATTAATATCACTTCATCCTAGTCACAGTGTAGTCAACAAGACAAGCAGAACTTGAAGCACATGAGTGATTGATGCTCCTCAAAAAGAAGCAGTCCACACATGGCTACAGCAAGGTAACCAAGAGAGCAAAGCAGAAAAAGCAGCTCCCCAGCGGAAAGATAAAACATAATTTATAGCCACTGCCTCCGTCTTGATTAACTTGGTTTTTGCTTTTTCCATTATTCATTTAGGGTGTGTGTGTGTGTGTATTCATGTTTGTATGTATATGAGCTGACATAGGAGGTGTGTGTGTGTGTGTGTGTGTGTGTGTGTGTGTGTAAGCCCAATCAATCATCTTTAATTGTTCTTTCCCTCTATTGTTTGAGGCAGGTCTGTCAATCAAACCAAGAACTCCAAATAAAGCTAGTCTTGCTAGCCAGCATGCTCTGGGGATTCCCAGTCTTTACCTTTCTAGATTGGAATAAAGGTGGGCCACTATATCCATTCAGCATTTATGTGGGTTCTGGGGATTGAACTCAGGTCCTCTGTTTGCAAAGCCAGCACCTTCCTTATTGAGCCATCTTTTCAGATTGCAAACAAATCTGTGTATATAAGATCTGGTTTGTGTACCATCAGCTCAAGAACTCTGATTTCATGATCTTGGGGGATTTAAATGAAACTGCATTCTACAATAAAAACTTAGACCCTTTGAAACAGTTCTGATTGGCTACATTGTTCACATCTGCTCGGTTAATTCTCATTCCACTTCATCTTAAACTCCCTTAGACTCCACATGGAAACTGAAAGGAAAGAGAACCATTTAATGTCCTTCCTTCTTAGGATGGGACAGAAGTGGACACAGTACCAGGTGTTTCTGGCAGCCACAAAGGACTAAAATCCTTTGAGATGCTATCCTTCATATTTACATCAACGTTACCAATAATGGCAGTACTTTAGAGACAACTGGGGAGCTTTTGTAAAACTTATTTCCCCTAAAATTTCCTAGGACCAGTTTAATAAGACTATCTTGGTATATACATATTAGGTTGCTATTAGAAATCCCTCTGTTGGTACAAATTTCTAGCAAAGGTAAAAATGACTATAATTATAACAATGATAATGACAATGACGATGATGATGGTGGTGGTGATATGTTATTACTGGTGGGTAAAATTAATTGAATGGGATGACTTTGAACCTAGCAAGTCAGGTAACATGAGTCTGATGTTCTCTGGATCCTCAGAACACCAAAGCACATAGAAGACAAGAGACTAGGAGAGAGAGGCAAGATGCTAGGACCAGGTAGGGAATGAAGGGCTCATAGGAACACAGGCTTACTCACCTATACTCAAACTTGAGTTAGTTCCCTTCTCTCTTAGGAAGCACTGTCTCCCAGGATAAAGGAGAAATCTCCTATCTACCTACTTCCAATCACATGGAAAACTGGAATCTTCAAGTAGCACTATTATAGAGAAATGTAAAGGTGACTAATACTTCAAGTTCAAATTTATAGGTGCAAGAAAGATAAGACAAAGGGAAGGCCAAGCAACACCGCTATCTCAAAATAAAGTAGAAAGGACTGGGAAGTGAGAGTGTAAGTCAGTAGTAAAGCTAACATGCACAAGAGCCCAGATCCAGTCTTCATACTGCCCCTAAAAGAAAAGAACAAACAATGCATGATCTCACTCATATTTGAAAATAATAACAGAAGCAGAAAATAGAACAGTAGTTGCCAGGAGCTGCAGGGATGGGGGGGGGTATCATTTAAAAAAAAAGTTACAAGTATATAGAGTAAGTAAACCCTAGGAATCTAATATGCATGTGACCATGGTAACAAATACAACACTGCAGGCTTGATATTTACCAATAATGCAGCTCTTAAGAGAGAGGGGCGAGAAGGAGAAGGAGGAGGAAAAGAAAGAGGGAGAAAAGGAAAGGGGGAAATAAGAGAGAAAAATATCAACCATGAGTTATAGGTATGTTAATTAACTTGATTGCAGTGATCATTTTAGAATGTACACAAAAGATAAAGTTGTGTGCTCTAAATGCGTACACAATTTTACTTGATGGTTATGTTCATTAAGTTGGAGACGTGGTGATGTGGCCACACCTGGTAGGAAAGCGAGGCCTGGCTTCGGAGACAACGCAGAACTCTGCGGCAAGGCAGAGATGGGGCTTCCTGGGCAGTGGCATCTCCAATTCAGAGTCCCAGGGCATTCAAATGAGCTGAGGGGTTGAATCTTCCAGCAAAACATGTGTCAAAATATTACACAGGTGTTGTCGAAGGACAGAAGGAGGAAGGAGAGGAAAAGGAAGGAGGGAGGGAGGAAGGGAGGGAGGGAGGGAGGGAGGGAGGGAGGGAGGGAGGGAGAAGGGCAGGAGTGGAAAGGGGAAAGAAAGAAACTTAACATTCTCACATGTCCTACAGCCAGAGAATACCATTGTCCTTTGAGGAATTTGCTCCATAGTGACTTGTTTTAAGGAGCCACAGCCCTTAATATGGACCAGAGTGAGATACAATATTAAAAACTGTTTGTTCTGAATTTCCCAACTGGGAGCTCTGCTTTTATAATAAACAAAAGCCATTTCAAAGTTACAGGCTCTTCCATTCTGCCATATTTTGCATTCCAAATCTCTGAAGCACCCACCTGGCCGTGCAGGCTGGTTCATGGAGAAGTGGATGAAGCACCCCTCATCAACAGATAAACAGGGAGCAGCCAACAACTACCAGGTTACCTCAGAGACAGTGCAGAGTTCAGACATAAGCCAGCACTTCAAATGCCGAAGGGAATTAATTCCTAAGGAAGCAGAGTCTCATATGAGGAACCAGAAGCCATGGCTGGCACTGAGGCACTGGGGATTCTAGATTAGGGAGCAAGTGGCCCTGGGGTCCACTCGGGAAATGGGAACACAGGTGTGACCACGGACAAAGCATCTCTGAAGTGCCAGGTGTCATTTGCTGTGAGAACGGGTTCCGTGCAATTAAGAGTCCTTGAAGAGGCCTGGAGAGGTGAATCGGAGAACAATGAGAACCTGAGCTTGAATCACCAGCACCCACCTAAAGTATGGGCCAAGGTTATACACAGGTGACTGTGACCCCAGGGCTAGGGGTGGGAACAGAAACAGGATGGTTCTGGGCTTGTTGGGTGCTGGTCTAGCTCCAGTCTCAGTGAAGACTGTGTCCTCACAACAAGGAAAGGAAGAGCAGAGCAGAACCTGTGAGTCTATTGACATGTACACACACACACTCAGAGAAAGAGAGACAGACAGACAGAGACTGAGAGACAGACAAAGTAGCCCTTGACAAACCAGGAGGCACCAATGATCAACAGTCTTCAATAACAGCAAAGAAAACTTCTTTTCTTCTTTGAAAATCTTTATTAAATCAAAGAAGCTTGGGTCCGCGGCTGTGATTTATTGCCCTGGGAAGCTCCAGAACAACCAAACGGCACATTTTCGCTCACTCCTGGCGAGTAATTAGCCTCTGTACTGCTAAAGGGCCTGTCAGCAGCCCTGTCAAGAGAAAAAGAAATGCCAGCTACTCCGAAGCCCTGGGCCCTCGGCGTTCCTCATCAGCTCCCCGGCGCTGGAAGGCATCGTTCTTTCCGTTCTTTCCGTCTGCTCTACGGTTTCTTCCTAAGGAAGGCAGAACAGAGGGGCAACAGCAGGGTCATCACCGCAAGCAAGCCAGGAACTGACGTGTTAGGGGAAAAAAAGAAAGGGCAGCCCCCACCAAGGGCCAAGCACTACAGAATAATCACGGTCATGTGTGCCGTCAATCACCTCCATCAGCCCTTGCAGCCACAACGAAAGGTTAGCTCCAGTTTACATGGGTAGGGAAACATAAATTTACAGAGATTCAATAATTCGCCCAATCCAGGCAGGCCTGGGACCAGGGCTGAATCCAGCTCTGCCAGCCCCCCACAGACCATCAAGTGCCATCAGAGGTTATTCAGGCGGGTATGGAAGCATGAGGTTGGCAAGATGTGTGGCGCCATGCCAGAGGAGAGCAGATGTGTTACAAATGTAATTCTCTCCCACTCTCTCCAGTGACCACAGCATTTTTTCTATTATCGCATGGGCACATAGTTAATGCACAAGTTTGTTGTATTAAATAGGATATGTAAAAAATAAAACACTAAAGGACAGACCACTGGTATTACCAGTGCTCATTATGAGGTTAATCTGTTTTCTTTGGACTAGGATGCACTAATATTCCCATAAGAAACAAATAAGGAGCACTGAGGAGGATTCAGGGAAAGGGAAACCTTTATACACTGATGGGGATGTAAATTAATTCATTTACTATGGAAATCAGTATAAAGGTTCTTCAGATAAGTAAACCAGAACTACCAAAGGACCGTCTACACCACACCAGAGCATATACCTTGTGATGGGAAGAGAGTCTAAGTGGAAAATTGTTTAGGTCAGGTTATCCCTGGGGTGTCTGGGGGGCTATCCTAATTAAAGTAGTTGAGGTAGGAAGACTCAGCCACTGTGGGTGGTCCATTTAGTGGACAGAGGATCCTAAACTTGACAATGGAGAAGGCAACTTGAGTCTGTGAGTACTTAACGCATTGTGTTCAGCTCTTGACTCTTGATATGGCAATACCAGTTGAGCTAAGTTCCTGCCTTGACTTCCCTACAATACAGATGGTGAACTGGAAACATGAGACAAATAAGGACTTTCTCCCGTAAGTTGCTTTTGACAGGTTCTTTTATCAGAGCCATAAGAAATGAAATGAAGAAGTATCTGGAAAGGCCCTAAGTCAACATGCCACAGAGAAGCCTGCACTTCAACGCTATTGCTGCACTATGGACAATAGCTAAGTTAGGGAACTAGGTGTCTATCACTTTTAATGTGCTATAAGTACACAATAGAGTTTTATTCGGTTATGAAAATAATGAAATGCCGTTGCCTGGAAAATGGATACAACTGGAAATTGTCATATTAAGTGAAATAAGACCGACTCAGAAAGAGAAATGCTGTGTGCTTTAATCTCTCATTAATGAATCCTAGACTTTTATAGCTACATTAAATAGATACATATCTATTTATATCATATGTTATAAATATGATACATATGACTAACAGGAGTGAGATGTGCAGAAGGGATACAAAAGGAAGTATGGGGCTGGGTATGATCAAAATGCACAATATACTTAAATTGTCTTTATGAAACCCAACAATGTGTACAATGAATATATACCAATAAAACATGAAATGGTTGGTATTTGAGGTGACAGGTCTGCTAACTAGTATGATTTGATCATTCCATAATATGTAACTGTGTCAAAATGCTGCGTTGTGCCTTAAAAATGTATACCAGTATTTCCTGTCAATTGATTTTTTAAAAAATAAATTGAATAAATATTAAAAACTAGAGTCAGACTGTGAAATGCACCTTTTACAAAATGTAACAATCTACTGAGACTGTTCTGATACGTGTTTGCACATCCTCTGAAAGTGGATGAATGTAGGTGTGCCATGACGTCAGCTTGCCATTTTCTTCTTTACAAACTGTGACAAGGTTGAAGAGATGGCTCAGAGAGGAGTGTCTTTGCTACTAAAACATGAAGACCCACATTTGGAGCCACAGCACCCACATAAAAAGTTGAATGTAGTGGCCTATGCCTAAAATTCCAGTGCCTGGGAAGAGAAGATGGCTAAGTAGAAGGTTTTGAGACTTAACCTCAAATAACTAAGGTGCAGAGTGACTGAAGAAGACCTTCAGTGTTGACTTCCACATAAAAATGCATGCCTGCCCTCATGCATGTGTACATGCACACACAAACATATATACGCACATATACCATACATACATCCAAACATGTCTGTAATTGTTGTGATCCAGCTGCCCTCACTCCCACTGACTAACAGCGGAACTTCCTTGTGGTCTGTAATTGACAAGGATGTTTGTATTCTTCCTGGCCGGTGGGTCGCCATAGAAGGAGTAGAGGTATAAAAGGTTGCTGGGCAAAATAAAGGTTGCTGTTCTTCCACCTGAAAAAAAGCCTCCGTGTCTCAATCCCGGCACCCCCCACCCCCCGCCAGTCTTGGTTATCCAGGCTGCGCTGGCTGCAGCATGTAATAAATGCTCTTACACAGGAAAAATAATACGCATGTATATTGAATACATCAGTGATTCACGCATCTCCACTTCATCTGGCAACACCTTTTTTTTTTTTTTTTTTTACATTTTTGGATGGTAAAGCAATGCTCCTGCCACCCAGTGGGCAATGACCAGGGATGTAGCTTGCTATGCATGTACCCAGAACAACTCCTTACCCAGCAAGCAATTCCACCGTGAAAACGTAAGTAACACATGACACCAAAGGTATGGCAACATTAAAGGTAAGAGGAGCATACTTACAATGCTTGTTATTCCTCAGGAGCATGCATATTTTCAGTTAGATTCATAGTCTTCCTCCTTTGTTCCCCAATGCAGAAGTTTCTCTTGTCATTTAGCTGGAAGTCATTGCCCAGAGAGAACCCATTGCTAGTTTCTGGTTGGAATATTTGAAGAGATATAGAATTCACAACTTTGTATATGCAAACCATAAATCCTTATTCCCCTTGCCTTCTTCCAGAAACCAGGCTTCCATTTTTCAGATCGCTGCTCTCCCAGCTCTACCCTAATAGGTTAAAAAACAATTCCCAAGACTAGAAAGATAAATCAGTTGATAAAGCATTTACCTTACAAGCATCAATACCTGAGTTCACATCTCTAGAACCCACCTAAAAAGTAAAGCATGGTGACACACACCAGTAATTCCAGCATCTGGGAGATGGGACGTCAAGAAAGGGAGGTCCCTGGAAGCTCATTGGTTCACTAGCTTAATCGGAATGGGGATGTTCCCGGCTAGAGAGATCTAGTCTCAAACAAAAGGTGTAAGGCTGTCCTCACACATATCCGCAGTCAGCACACAAACACAAGCATATATATTGAGTGGCTCATATCCACCTATAACTCCAGTTCCGGGGAATCTGATGTCTTCTTATGGCCTCTGAGGGCACCAGGCACACATGAGACAAGAACACACACATACACATGATTAAAAATAAAAATAAATATTTTTAAAGGGGACATGAAGTTGGAATGTGGACACAGAAGGTGACCTGGGGGAGTTGGAGGTGGACAAATGGGTAGCATGATATTTCACCATGTACATGCATGAAATTCTCAACTAATTGTTTAAATCTACTCTGTGAGGCATTGTGAACCATGCTAAAAGTCAAGTCACGGTCCAGACAGGCATTGTGAATTCTTGATAACAAAGTACTAAAAAAACACTACAAATTGATTTTAAAAAATATAAATAACCCAAGAGAAAAAACATAGACAAAAGCTATAAAAACACATCACACAAAGGAAAGAACCCAGAGGACCAATAAACATAAAAGACTGTCAATTTCATGAATAGTCAGGAAGACACAGACAAACCACCAGTGAAATGTCATTTCACATCCACCCAACTGGCAATGAACCTGAAGACAAACAAGACTCAGTGCCAGTGGGGATCCAGAGATCTGGAAGCTGTGTTCTCTGCCAGTCTGCAGGGCACTCAAGCATTGCCTCGTGGAGAAAAGTTTGACAGCAGTTGGTAGAAAAGCAATATCCACCTACAGGTGTCTGTCCTAACATCCCTCACACAAGGACATGGGAGACTCCATGGGAAGATTAGCACTGTCAGCAGTTATGAGAACTTTCTAACCACTCTCCAGTGTAAACCCCAGACAGTCATAAACTGATGATACACTCCTGCAATGGAAGACCCCAGGGCGGTTCAAATGACCGAAGAAACACACCAGGCACCAGAGTGCACAGAAACAGACAAACAAACAAAGGATATGATTGTGATGGTTAAAACTGACTGTCAAGTTGACAGGACCTGGAGTGACCAGAGAGACAAGTTGGTAGACTTTAACTACCAACTTGACACAGTTCAGCGTCAACTGGGAAAGAGTTCTCAAGTGAGAGCTTACCCAGATCAGACGGACCTGTGGGCATGTCTGGGGGATTGTCTAGACCGGTTAGTTCAGATGGGAAGAGCCACTTTAACTTCCTTCCATGGGCTGGCGTCCTGGGCCGAATGAAGAGGGGAGACTGAGAGCTGAGCACCAGCATCATCTCTCTCTACTTCCTGACTGTGGATGCCATGTGAGCAGCTGCCTCACGCTCCTGCCACCAAGCCTTCCCCACCACCATGAACTGTGCTCACAAACTGTGAGCCACAATAAGCTCTTCTTCCTCAAGCTGCCCCTTGTCGGACATTTTGTCACAGTAATGAGAAATCCTAGTTCAATGGGGTTGAAGGAAAGGAAAGTTATACCATGATAATAAGAGTATACATTATATATAGCACAAATTGTAATATATGTGTACATTACAGTTACCTGTAGCAAGTACATAAATGTTGGCTTATACTCATGTAAACATTAATCAGAACTTAATTTTAAACTTTATTCAATATAAACAAAATTTTATATACTTATCAAATGCAAACCTTATTATGCTGACTCTAAAGATTAACTCACACATGATGTTTCAAGTTTGTATTTCATGTGTATATTGTCATACACAACGATAACAAGATACCACAGTACTTGCCTCTGAGAGAAGGTTGGAACTAGGAAGCACACAAAAACAAATCTATCTTATTTCTTTAAGAACATTTTTTGAGATAATGCCTCAGGTAGCCCAGGATAGCTTTGGACTTCTGATCCTCCTATTTCTACCTCCACAGTTCTAGGTTTACAAGTACATGCTACCATACTCATGTGTCTATTTGTGTAGGTGTATTGAGGCAATACACGTGTGTGTTTTTGCAGGTATGTTGAGGTGGTACACCTGTATACATTTGTGCGGGTATATTGGGCAGTGCACATGTATGTTTTTGGAGATGTGTTGGGCAGTGCACATGTGTGATTGTGTAGGTGTGTTGGGATGGTGCACATATGTGATTGTGCATGTGGGTTGGGACAGTACACATGTGTGTTTGTGCAGATGTTCTGGGCCAGTGCACATGTTTGTTTGTGCAAGTGTGTTGGGCAGTGCACATGTGTATTTGTACAAGTGTATTGAGGCAGTGAACATATGTACTTATACAGGTATATGGGGGCAGTGCACATGTGTGTTTGTGAAGGTATATTTGGCTGGTACACTTGTGTGACTGTGCAGGTGTGTTAGGGTGGTGCACATGCATGTTTGTGAATATGAGAGCAAGAGGTCAACCGTGGGTGTCTTCCTCAATCACACTCTCTAAACCTTATTTTCTGAAACAGAGACCCCTTGAGTTCAAGAGCTCAATACCAGCCTGAACAGCACAGTGATTTCATGTTTCAAACAATGAGAAACACCATAATAATCATCAACTGGAAAGTCGGTGAATAGGTATAATTTGTGATTTTTTGTTTCTTAAATTTTTACAAAATGAAAATGTGTATTGATGCCTAAAAGTTTCATCCTTTGAGAGAAGTGAGGGCTGGGTGACTTGTTTGTACCTTGGGGTCTGGTGGAGGGCCAGACAAAAGGAAAAAGAAATGAGTGCTTGATGGAGTATGATATGGGTCTGTCTGGTCAGGAAGGAAGGCCGTCAGAGCATGCTCCAACACAGAAGTGACTCCGGCTTCTTGGAGAATGGAACAGGTCAAAGCAAGTGATGCCTGGGAACCTTCCTAGACAATAAGAGATAATCCAAAATCCATTTCAATTTGGCTTAGGAAAATGTATCTATTCCCTCACTTCAAGGCAGAAGGTTCTGGTACTCTTAGAAGTCACACTGCTATCAAAGTCCCAGATTGAGCGCTGACTGAGGAAGAAGTATTGAGGTGCACAGTGCTCTGACCTTCATTCAGGATGCCCCAGGCTGGGCCCCAGAGAGAAGTTACATCTCTCAGGCAGAAACAAACCAGGGTCCTTCAACACCTCATTCTGAGATCCTCAAGGAAGTCGTTTTTCTTTCTAAGCAGTGGTTTCCACATCTGTGAAGGAAAAATAAAATAACAACTTGATTCTCTCTAAATCAGGAGAACACCTGCATGTAGAAGTGAGCACGCACCCAGTTTGTGCACACTCAGTTTGTGCACACTCAATTTGTGCACTCAGTTTGTGCACACTCAGTTTGTGCACACCCAGTTTGTGTGACACCCAGTTTGTGCACATCCCGTTTGTGTACACCCAGTTTGTGTGACCCAGTTTGTGTGCACCCAGTTTGTGTGCACCCAGTTTGTTGACCTAGTTTGTGTGCACACCCAGTTTGTGCACATCCAGTTTGTGCACCCAGTTTGTGTGTACACCCAGTTTGTGCGCATCCAGTTTGTGCGGACCCAGTTTGTGTGACCCAGCTTGTGTGCACACCCAGTTTGTGCACCCAGTTTGTGTGTGCACCCAGTTTGTGCACACCCAGTTTGTGTGCACACATGCACAAGGCTCTCTGCAGGCCAACTGCCTCCCAGTCCAGAAAATCGTGTTAGCAACTGTCCCTGTGGCTCTTTCCAATAATTTGCAGTTAATGAATTAAAAGGGACTAGAGAGGTTACTCCATCAATATAGCATTTGCTGTGAAAGCATGAATACCTAAGTTTGGCTCCCTAGCATCCATGTTAAAAAACAAAACAAAACAAAAACAATGACAAAAAACCCAAGCACTATAGTATGAACCCATGACCTCAGCATTGCAGAGGACAGAAACAAGGGGATTCCTGGGGTTCACTGGCCAGCTAGTGTAGTTCAATGCTTGAGTTCAAAGTTCAGTGACAGAGACCCTGTCACTAAAACGTAAAGTGGAGAAATAATTGAAGAAGACACTCAACACTGACCTCTGGGTTCTGGAAACACACACACACACACACATACACACACACACATGCACACACACATACACACACACAAAGGAGCTGAACAGTAAGTGCTAGCGGTAAAAGAAATTTGAATAAATTCACCTACCATAACTGTTTATAGAGGGAAAGGTAGGCTTCATTGCAGCACGCCGCTCCCGCCAGCAGAAGAGACGACTGCAACAGGATTCTTCTCAGAACACACTTTATTGGAGCACTTACACTTGAGGTTGTAGAGAGGAAAAAGACCCCGTCCCCATGAAACAGAAGAATATATACGGTGCCAGACAAAGCCCTGACGTGTCATCAACCCAATGGCTCAGGCCAGAATGGAGTGATCGTGCTTAAATTATGATTGGCCAGATTGGATGGCCAGATCGAAATACTCCCCGCGTTGGGGGGGGGAGGGGCTCGCAGGCGCATGCGCTGTGGGCGCGCATGCGCACAAGTTGCTCACAAGCTGTCAAGTTTGACGTGGAACAGCAAATGGCGCCCAGGCCCCGTGCCCCTGACATGACAGCGCCATGGTGCGCGCTACATCTCCGCGCGCTACACTTCATTAAGCACAATTATATAGAAATATTACTTTTTTCTAGATATCATCCTCAAGTTCTTAAACCACCTCTGCCTCAATTTTCTTCTGTGTAGATGTCTCAATTCCTTTCATGTAGATACAATATAATATAACCTTCCTTGTGGGAGCATAACTCTCTAAGTTCTATGGTCCTGAGTGCTGTCCTCAGAGCTCTTACATATATACAGATAAATAGATAGATGATAGGTAGATATAAATAACAGATAAAGAGTAAATGATAGATAGATAGACAGACAGACAGATAGATCATAGACAGATAGATAGACAAACAGACAGGCAGGTAGGTAGACAGATAGACAGATAGATAATAGATATGAATATAGATAAAAGATAAATAGTAAATGATGATAGAAAATTGACAGATAGATAGGTAGATAGATAATAGACAGGCAGACACATAGATAGATGGACAGACAAACAGGTAAATGGATAAATAGATTGACATATAGATAGACAGATAAATAGGCAGACAGACAGGTAGATGGGCAAGCAGACAAACAGACACAGAAATACAGACAGGCAGATATATATGGATATAGATATATAATAGATAATAATAATAGATAATAAAATAGATAAATAATGACAGAGATAGATGAGTGAGAGACAGGACTCTGCCGTTGGCAGTGTTAAGATGTGTGTTTATGCCTGTATATAGGTGTTGGTCTATATATATATTGGCATCCATTTCTCCAAGTGCTCTTGAGCCTACCCAAGAGTACCCTGGGAAAAAACTAATGATTAGGTTTATCAAGCAAAGTTTTCCAGCTACCCACCTGACTCTAGGCAAGTGAGTGCTTGGCACAGTTTTCAGTTTTTGCAGCAATGGCAGTTTCAATATCCCCACCGTGACAGCAGCAGGGTGGGTCTCTTTGTCAGTGTGCTGACTGCTGTTGAAAATGCCTGGGTCTATGTTGTTATGTTTAGAAGATGCTTGTAGGTGTGTATTTGGAGGTTTAAAAACCACAGGTGGCAAATCCACATGCCCTGCTCAATTTCTGTTGTTATTGGCTTTCAACACATACCATAGGAGCTAGACTTTGGCTTCCCTAAGTCCTGAGGTGCGCTAGACCCTATGCTGACTTTTAGCCTAAATCTCTAACAACTCCGTTATTGCTGACTGTAGTTTTGTTTGCCCAGGTTTCCCTGGGTTTTTGTGTTGAGGTGGGTGGGAAGAATACGTGTCTATGTAGAGAACAGAGAGTTATCTTCCTCAGTTGCTAGTCACCTCTTAAAAATTTTATTTCTAAAAGAAAGAAAACAGAATGAAATAAAGTGTTCAATAAAAGATAAAAAGCAGAACAGAGGTTCGGGGTGTCACTCGGCAGTAGCTGTATGCTTAGTGGGATGGAGGGCCTGTTTTGTCTCTAGCACATCCAGATGTTGAACATGTGGCCCCGCCAAAATCTCAGCACTAGGGGGGTAGAGGTAAAAGGATGCTGGTGAGTTCAGATGAGTCTATGCTTCGCTGGTCTCAGGGTCTCTTGGCATTATGTTAGCTCCTTCAGGACAATCACAGCTAACACCCGGCAGCCTGAGGGCATCAGAGTTCCACCTTTCTGTGTGAGGTGGGGTCTTCTAGTGTACATTGATTTGGTCAACTGACTCCCATCAAGATCCAGGAATCATCCTGCCTCTGCCACTCCAGTGCTGGGATTGTAAATGCACAAGACTATGTCCAGCCTTTTAGATGGGTGCTGGGGATGTGAACTTAGGTCCTTGTGTTTATTCAGCAAGCACTTTGATGATGGAGCCATCTCCCCAGTCTGGGTTTTCAGTTTTTATAGGCAAAAACTTCCAGCCCAGAGTCAACCTGTATATTCAATATAACTTGAAGGATTTTTAAATATAAGTCAGCTTCATATTTTTGCCTCTTTATATCACAAGATTAGATGAACAATCTTAATTTTGAGTTTTCTCTCAGGAGAGATGGCTTAGCAGTTAAGGCAGAAGACCTTGAAGAGGAGCCAGGTTTTGTTCCAAAACCCACCCACAACTGTCTATAACTGTAGTTTCAAGGGATCTGAGACCTCTTGCCACCTCCCTAGGCACCAGCATGCACATGATGTTACAGAAATGCATTCAGGCAAATATCCATACGCCTAAAATAAAAAAATATAATTAAAAAACTAAGTTGATAATACTCCTCAGACTTCAGTCTACAAGCTCAGATGTGTTGTCATTTTATCCTGATTCCTAGATACCTTGTGTGTACTTAGAAGAGATCTGTTGCCTCCAGGCATGCCTAGCACTGTAGTCCTGAATCCCCAGGTAGTATTTCCCATTGAGCCTCTGAACACTCCTGCCTCTGGATATTGCCTACTGCTAGAATATCTACCAGAAGAAAAGTAAGCAGTCTCCCCTGCCCTTGGGACTCACGAGTGAACCTCAGGCATGTCTTGGCCCCACCCCAAAATCTGTTCTGTTCCAGAGACTGACTGTCTTTCCATTTCTTATCCCCACCCCCTCTGCTTGATTTCTCACAGCTGAGGGTGGCATTGTTTCTTAAGCTTGGAAATAAACGAGAAAAGCAACTGATTAATAATCTAGACATTGCATCGCACCATAAATGTTGCAAGTGTTATTCACAGATCTGCCTGGTGTAAGACCTGAGAGGAAATGGAAAAAAAAGTGGTAGTCATGTAATTAGCTTTCATCGAACGTGTTATTTGAGCTCCTCTTGGGGAGCGGACACCCCGAAGGCACTGAAGAGGTGAGTAAGAGTCTACTACCTAGACGCTTGAAGATGGTAGGAATGGACAGCCAGAAAACCAAATGATCAGAATGCGGTGTGGTCAGCGTGGTAAAGAGAGACTGGCCAGTTGTGTAGATTTTTCTTCCAAATTCACACAGGAAATAAACAAAACTTAAAGTCTCAGGAAGCTCCTGAAAAATAAAAGTCACAAAACCCTGCCCTAACGTTATTTAATCAGTAATGATTGCCAGGGAGAAGAGACTCTTGGACAGACTGAGCTCCAGACAACCCATGGCAGGAGCCCCAGGGATTCAGCTTTCACGGACCATCAACCAGACTGCATGGGCTTTTGGTAACGGTAATGTCTTTGAGTCACCCAGGCTTCTGTTAAAAGAAGAATCCCTCATTCACAGTCCTGTAAACAACTCCAGTAGCCTCATTGATTCACTAAGTTAGGCTTGTATGGACCCCTTGTTTCAGTCCGTCATCAGGGCCCTCACTGGGTGAGCAGATGTGTGTTTGGGTCTCCCCAGGAAGTCACAGGACATATATGAACAAAGGACATCAAGGAGGGAGACATCAACTTCCTGATAGGTAAAGGTGGTAAGAAAAGAGGTGATTCAGAAAAAAAAAAAATGTAGAATCAGTTAGTCTGTTTTCTGATGTACGTAACAAACATTGCAAACCGGGTGCGTCATGAAGAAAAGAGCTTGTTTGGTTTGTTGTGATGGTCCAAGGCTAAGGATCATCTCTATTCACGACCTTCATGCTGACAGACTTTCAAGTCACTGCAGCATATAAACAAAATGTGCCCTTCCCTTTATAAGACTGCTAAGATTCAGTTATGGAGGCAGCTCTCAGATGACATTATGCACCCTCGTCACCTCCTAGAGGCCCCACTTCTACACACCGCAGTTGGAGTATCTCCTCCCTCTTAATATACACATCAGTGATCTGTAGAGAGGGCAGATGGCAGCTAACCCACAGCAGATGCTAAAGGCCCCCAAAAGGTCCCTTCCGTCTCTTCCTCGCAGACAACACCAGCCACACTCACAGCATCTCAATGGCATTTTCCTGTTCATGTTGCTACTTAAGCAAGTCCCCAAAATATAATGAATGCTTAGTGAATCCAAGACTTCTATTATCAGGAAAGAGCAACACATTAGCCTACAAATAGACTCGGTGGATTTATTTATGATTAATTATTAACATGATCCGTTTTCAGCAGGTAGAACAGAAATCCTAAAGGAAGCTGCTTCCTAATTGAAAACAGAAAAGGCATGAATATAGACACTATCTTAGCTTTGCTTCCCTGGGACCTACAGACAGGATGCATGTCCCAATAACTGTGGGAAGCAAGCTCTTGGCAGAGGAGCACAGGGAGCACAACGGTGCTGGAGAGCAGCAGAACTAACTGTAGGGCAATTGGAGGCAGCTTCGGTTTCTGCTGGAATTAGTCCCGTCTGGAAGCAGGAAGCTGAGAAACTGGGAAGGTGGCTTGGTTGGTAAAGTGCCCACTGTGCAAGCATAAGGACCTGACTGAGTTCAAGCCCCAGAATGCATGGTCCTTGCCTGTAATCCCAGCACTGGGAAACAGGCAGAGGAAGATCCTGGGGTCTTGCTGGCCATTCAGTATAATTGACAAGTTCCAGGCTCAATGAAATAACTTGTCTCAAAGACAAGGTAAAGAGAGATCAATAGAGACACCTGATATCAACTTCTGGCTGTCACACATGCGCTCACACACATACACACACACACATACGCACACACACACTAGTGGTGCAGAGCAACCTCCCCATAATCAGGAGCCTGGGACTGAGGGGGAGACAGTGGGTAACATCAGGGCATAATGGATACAGATGGATAGACATAGACCCTGAAGACCAGGAACCACAGCGAAGCCTGAGGTCATGCAGGAGAGTTCCAGGCAGGCAATCACTGTAATGTTTAGAAGCTAACGCTTTAAGGATGAGCTTCGTTGGTATAATGCTTGTCTAGAATGCACAAAGCTCTGAGTTTCATCCCAGCACTGCATA